AGATGGAATATGGGAAGAAGAGATCATTTGTTGTATTTTAACAGTGATAAATTACTAAAATTGTTTATACTTGTGATGAAGGGGGAAGTCATTTTTTTATATATTTCTTTTCTTTTTCTTTACTATCTTATCTTTTATCTTTTCTTATCTTTTATCTTTTATCTTATCTTATCTTTTCTATTTTCTTTTTCTTTTGCACTATTTTTTCTTTACATTCTTTTTTTTTTTAGTATTTATTAGTTTTTTATCATTGTAAGTGTAATTTTTAATAAAATTATTATTGAAAAAAGAGAATAGTTTGGTTTCTTGGCCCTTAAAAGTAAGGTGTCAGCAATTCAAGAGAAGCAGCAGATAGGGAAGGAACTGTGCTTTCAATGACAAACTCTGAACCCTTTATCTTTCTTGCCACACTGAAATCCATACTGCACGATTCCTGGCAGCCTCTCAGAAAAGTCTCCTTCACAACTAATGAAGCAGTAATTAAATATTTCTCTTTAAGATTCTAAAAATAGACTTTCAGTTCAGCCAATATATTCAATACACAGGGTGGCATGCAAATAAAAAAACATACACGCATACACAAACATATATTTTCAGAGCAATAAATAATGTCAAAGTCTCATCTACAAAGAAAGATAGACCCAGCAGCACAGGTGAAAAACAATGCAACACAAAAGAATAGATTATCCGCAAGGACTATCACATCTTTAATTGTCAGGGAAAATATATATATATTTCCTTGGTACTGGAGAGACTATAACATAGGAGCCAGCCAGGGTTTCTACTAACAAGATGTCAGCACCAAAATAACGTTTCCTCCAGCAAATATCTGCCACAGTTAGTAGAGCACTTGCAAGGAGGCTTTAGACACTGACTTAGAGGTTCTGTTTATTGCAGTTTGCTGGGTTGGCTTTAAAGAGCTGATGTGGTAACAGCTGTCTGTCAACTACTGTATGCCTGTGCAGGTAGTAGGAAGTTGTAATGAAGACGTGAGTTGCTTCTCTCAAATATTATGCCCTGAAATGGAGCACCCTAGAACAGTGATGGCAAACCTTTTGGGCTCGCCGTGTCAAAAATTTGGAAAATGCCTAACTTGACTCTGCTGGCGTGTCACCCCCCCCCCAAAAACAAAAAAGAAACAGTTCTTTACATATTCATTTATTTTAAAAACATACAGTCCAATTGTGTGTGGTGCTATGTATTATATAAAGAAACATCAAATAATTACAAAAATGAAATATAAAGCTCAGTTTCTTTGGTAACTCAAACAGGGAGAATAGTTGTTGTCAGGTGTTGGTGAACACTGGCGTGTCACCCAAAATGTGGCATGTCACCTTTGACACATGTGTCATAGGTTCACCATCACTGGCCTAGAATGTGCTGTAACATTAAAAAGGACCGTTCAATGACTCAGAAAAATGCAAGCTTCCTCAGTCCAATACACACAGAGAAAAAGATGAGAGCAGGTGGGCAAGGAAGTGTTTAGTATATGGATATGTTACATTTTTACACATTTGTATGCTTGCAGTGTGTTTCTCAATAAATACTATTTTGGGATGCAAGTAAAGTATTAATATATGGAATATCCCCAATCACACACACACAAAAAAAAACTCTGGCTTTTTTACCTTACAGTATTATTGTATTGATAAATGAAATAAGAATAGTAAAGGATTTTACAATTTCAGAAAGATTCTAAAGAAATATTGTATAATAGACAATATAGGTGATGGTTATGTGTGTGGATGGTTAGAAAAAGAAAGATGCATTCAATTCCAACAGCGAATGGCATACAGAAGGCTTAATATACGGGCCATGCCAGGTTTACTATCCACTACTGAGTTCTGATGAAATGAACCCTTGTGATTCAATATGATTCATGTTTCTTTCTTGCCAAGCACTGTTAAAATTCACTCGCTAACTCTGCCTAACCTTATATCCTCTGCACAATCAAACCATTACAGAGATGGTACATAACATAATGGTTAAAAGCTAATGTGATTGCCAGGAGCATCGATTATTTGCTGGAAATCCCCCGCTTATAAAAACTCTTCCCCACATTTTGTTCAGGTTATTCTCAGACATCTCAAGAGTACAATCTATTGATGCCTTTCATACCAAAAGCCATTATCAAGGACTTGTGCATTATAGAACGTTGGTCAGATGAGAAGGTGGCATCCATTCTCTCGCCAGGAATAGGGTTGGCTGCAACCCTTTGTGCCTTGCAGTTTCCTGCCCCCTCTTCACTGTTCGGAACTCTTTAGCAAATGGGATTAAGAAGATGCTGAGCTCAGTTCTCCTATTTACATATCTGACATGAAGTAATCATGAAAGATTCATTATACTCAACTGTATTGCTCATCTGGAGGGAATGGGGCCTTTTGCATTTTTTATTTCCTTCCCATTAAGATCTCATGAAAGAGTGATCCCTTGCCCACAGTTCTTTAATTAGTTCCTTTTATCCATCTCCAGTTGGCCTGCTCCAATTCATCTAGGAGAATATTTGGAATCAATCCTCCATATTGCTGCATGTTGGGAGTGTGCAACCCCCCCCCCCCCACA